ATGGTGCAAAGCTTCATCTGCAATGAAAACATTGGTGCACCAGCCATGACAGAGAACAGCAGACAGTATGACTCGTGGCCTCTGCAGGTTTTCCAATGAATGCGGCTTGCGTGCAAACTTGTACTGAGGCCACGCTGTCTTGACTTGATCCATGGAATCTATGATGATGGTCAGGACGTCCAACGACGCCCGTGATGCCCACCGCAGGCTCCAGTAGATGAGGCGATCATGGTATTGGGCACGAAGATGTTCACGCCAGTCTCGTGCAAGTGCCATCTTCTCCTTGGTGTTGCCCTTCTTTCCTTACTTGTGATCACAAACAACATGGGCACAAAGGAACTGAAATCTCAAAGAAAGTGCAATGCTCAGCTAAGCCTCCATGTAACTTCTCACGGAGACAGTGGCATGTGTTGCACTCTTTGTGCTGCGAAACCTTTCGGAACTTCAGCACAGACGACCACTTGTCCCACCATACTCTCCAGAATGTCGACCATGACGGCGTTTGAATTGCCTGGTTATGGCCAGCCATTCCTTGCACGGCTTCACACCAGGCCTGAAACTGCCAAAACAAAGTCATGAGCTTGCCTGGTGGCAAATGCCGGACTGGAACAGTGGACAGATCGACAGTGGACAGTGCCATGATGTTTTGAACAATGGCTGCTTCAGGTGTCCACGAGAAGATCTCTGACTCAGTGGATATTTGCCGCATGTATACAGGAGCATCGCAGTCTTGCTCACCCGTGCTTGCAGAGATATTGTCATCCACATGCTGCACTTGCAAAGTTTCAGGCAAATCCTCTGCACTTTGGTGGTAGAGCTCCAAAAAAAACATGCATGTCAAATTCCGCTGCAAGGGAGGCCTTGTAGCCACTGGCTCACAATTGTTGATTTTGCGGCGCTGATCAATTACCCCCTGCAGCTTCTTTGCCATGGCCTTGTTTCCAACACCCAGCAGGGAGCACAAACCGTGTGCCCTGCCAAATACCAGGTTGTGCGGTGAGCCAGCTGCTCTCCATCAAAGTCATCCAGGCAAATTGTGCATTCAAGAAGTGGTGCTGGGACTCATCTGACACTGAGTGCCACAATTGCAAGATGCACGACACTGCAGGGCACTGCGGTGGCGCGACCCACCCTGCACCCTGTCCTGCCTCCTGCTCTCTGCTCCCTGCGCCTCCCTGCCTCCGCTGCTTGCTGCCTCCTTAGTCTCTCTCCATGCTTCCTGCCTGCTGCTGTCCCTTGACTCTGCCTTGCCCACGTCTGCGTCTGCAGCTGCTAACTGCTGCCACTGCATCGGTGCTACCACTTGCAAGTCTTAATGGAGTCGCCTGCAGGCCCACAACTTTGCGATTGCGGACATCTTATGGACCGTTTCTGGCCTGCAAAGTATTTAGATACGTCGTCTGTCTGAAAAGGTTTCGAGTCCAGGTACCAGCAGCAACTTCCCACTTGGCGAGGCTCTGTCGAACCTCTTCTAGACCAAGAAACATCGATGAGGATCAGAGCGTGGTGTTTGCCGCTGCCGACTGTTTGAAGGCTGCCAATGTGTGCCCGGACCCCGCGCCCCCACCCACACCGCCTCCACCGCCCCCACCGCCCACACCGCTCCCACCGTCCACCACCTTCATCCACCGCCACCACCCCCACCATCTCCGTTACTGCCACGCCTGCACTGTGCCTCCACCGCTTTCACCGTTCCCACCGTCTCCACTGCTCTCACTGCCCGCTGTATTTGTTTAAACAGTGAACAGTATTTGAAGGCTGCCAATGTGTGCCCGGACCCCCGCCCCACCGCCCACACCGCCTCCACCCTCCCACCGCCCACCGTCCCACCGTCCACACCGCCCTCACCGCCCTCACCACTCCCACCACCTTCATCCACCGCCACCACCCCCACCATCTCCATTACTGCCACGCCTCACTGTACCTCCGCTTTGGTGAGCTGTTTCCTTCTCAAGGTAGGTTTTTGTGTAGTCTCAGCTGTGAACATGTTTATCAAGTTCGTGCTGCCGAATGACACACCATGCCTCCCCAGAGCTTCCAAAGATGTTTAAATAAGGAAACCATGCTTAAGTATATAATTAATCAACATAAAAATTGTTTAATTAAGCTGTAAAACCTTAATTAAACAATGTTTCTTGTTAAAACTGTTTAAATAAACACTTTTACTTGTTTAATTAAGCAATACAATGCTTAATTAAACAATCATTGCTTAAATGTTGTTGAAAATAACACATCTTAAAATTCTTTCATTGTTGTTTCTGAGCAGTTCTAACACTCACAGGCGAAGGTACAAGTACACAGCAACTGTGAACACACTGCATATGCTGGCGCAACACTCTTTTTCTCTGGTGACATTGGGAATCCACGATCCTCAGCGGTCAAACACCACCATACGGCAGTGACTAACCTAGTGCACTAGGGATGGCGGGACAGGCTAACCCCATCCGCAACGGCCTACGGTGCATCAGCACAGCTGCTGATCTCAAGAAGAGTGGCTTCAAGAGTTTGTGTCATTAACAAGGCTGGCAACGTGCAAGCTGCAAAGCCCAGGGCCCCAGCAGGAAGCTGAGCTGAAGAGCGGCACAAGAGCCAAAATCTGTTTGCGAATGTGCCCAAGTTGGGTGGGTGGGCGGGAAAATTTTTCTTCTGAGCCACTGTGGCTCACACTGCACGGAGATGTATTCTGCTGCACCAAGTCTCATCAGAAACAAAACTCCCCCGAGTTTTTCAAATCAAGAATTTTAAAACGCTATCAACAAGTTGACCGCCAGCTTAAAATTCTTTCATTGTTGTTTCTGAGCAGTTCTAACACTCACAGGCGAAGGTACAAGTACACAGCAACTGTGAACACACTGCATATGCTGGCGCAACACTCTTTTTCTCTGGTGACATTGGGAATCCACGATCCTCAGCGGTCAAACACCACCATACGGCAGTGACTAACCTAGTGCACTAGGGATGGCGGGACAGGCTAACCCCAACTTAACCGCTAAGCGAGGATTTCACTAAGGGCACTCCCCACATCCGAAGACCTCATCTTCCTGCTGCCAACACGAAGTGTGTCCACCTTTTCGCGAGAAAGGAGGTCAGCAGGGTTCGATGGGCTTGGTACCCTCGCCACCCACACGTTGGCACTGATCATGTCTTCAATCGTAAGGAATAGTGCGGCTTGAGTTTTTGCGAATAAGTTCCGCCCTCGACCAGAGATGCACAGGTCTCTCACGCTGTTGTTATCAACGTAAGCGACAAGAGGTCTTCCCTTCATTGCATCTTTCCAAGCTACCAGTGCGACTACATATGCCAAAAGTTCTGCTTCGAAAATGATGGTCTTCTTGTCATCAAGTCCTAGTTTCCGCATAAGTGCAACACTCAAGAAACATGAAAAGAATCGTAGTGCCTTACCTTCACAGTCATACAGGATTCCTCCTATGCCGCAACACGGTTTGTCCTCGGACCTGTCAAATGCCGCATCGGTGAAGAGATACACTGGTTTCTGGCAAGGCCTTGCCAGTATTCGTGGTTTGCACACTTCAAGAATGTTGGCATACATCAGCATGGCATCTTTGCAGGCCGGGCCGATTTCATCTCGGCCATTAACGATATGTTCGGTGACAGCCTGTAAACACAAGCGACTCGCTCGACCGAAAATCTGGTTGTCCGCGAACTGCATGCGACCCCGGAGCTTCTGTGCTGCACTGATTGACATAACTCCCTGGCCTGCTGTTTTCCTCAAGATCTCCTGCAGCTCACTTTTCCGGGTCGACGTGTTGTCCACCTCGACTCTGCCGCTGCAGTAAGGTCGCAAGTCGAAGACAACCCCTAGACACGAAAACGTTTTTCCAAACTTTTCCGCTTTGCTACCATCCTCGGCGAACCGCCAGCCTAACAACCTGAAAAGTCGTGGCACAAACTCTTCCAGGGCTTGGACGTCGTCATCGGGACAGATGATCGGGAAGTCATCGTAATAATTTGCCCATAAGAAACCAAGTGCACAGCCTACATACCAGATGCTATGAGCGACTCTTAAGAACGAGTAGACGGAGCGCGCGGCCCCGAAAGGCAATGCCAGCGTCTGGTATATCACCGGGTCGCCCGACTCTGGGTCGGGGAAGGTAACGAACGAGGCATCAAGGGCGCCCTCACTCAATCCAAGCTGCCTGTATGCCGCTTTCAAGTCATAGCATCTGCCGCTCATGGGTCTCCGGGGCATGCACTCTTGGCACTTCATGCACAACGCTGACACGACCTCTACTCCATGTGGCTTCGGCGACTCGGACGTTTGCACTGCATCGTTCACGGTGCTAGCACTAAGATCGTCCACCAACCTGACCTTTCTACTGTCTCCTACACCTTGCTCGAGGCCAAACCTTTTACTGACCAAAGAACTATGCTTAAGTTGATTTTTCCCAATGGGACCCCTAAGCCAACCCTCTGCGACTTCCTTCATCGATTTGTCCCGGACCTCCTTATCTAGGTGGCCCTGCGATTTCAGGTTGCCAAGCACCTTCTCGCGGCTCGCCACAGCCCTCGCCTTGACCTGCTCAGGAGTAGCGACTGCGGGCTTGAACGACTGGTCAAACACTCCTGTCAGCGGCACCTGACCCAGAAGTTCGGTGCCACGCGCTACTTCCTCCACTACACCTAAGTCCTCGTACCCAAGGGATTCAAGCACTTCCCTCCACACCAGTAGACCTTTGCCGCTTAAGATATTTTTCAAATGCCCCGGCAAATGATTTTTCAACTCTTCCTCTTGGGGGCGTAACTCTTCCGCCCTGCGCTCCCACTTCCTGAACCATTCTTCCCGAAAATCCTTCAGTTCCTCTTTGCTGAGCGACTTATTCAACTCCACAGCTTTTTCAAGGGGTTGCGGGAGATTGACGGGCACCAGTTTTGGATGCCCCGACTTGACGGCCTCACGCACGAATGCTTCGGGCTTGAAGGGAATGCCCCAGGCTATTTCACAACGGTTCCGCAATTCTTCAGCCTGCTCTTTCCCCTTATTAGCCGTGATGGGGGAGACTCGCAGAAGCTGAGCCTCGGCAGGGATAACACGCAAAGTGCAGGAACATTCCAAGGGCACAGTCCATGGCGTTTTGATGCGTTGCATGGCCTCACAGGGCAGGGAGACTGACGACGGTCCGGTCATGACGACAACATGCGCATGTTCGGGGACTAAAGGAGGGAATCGTGAGGCTTTGGGCTGGTTCCCTATCACAGCCTGGCAGGCTGTTTGCAAGGAGTGGGGTTGTTGCAAGCGGGTTTCCGGGTTCCAACCAAGACTGCAAGCATGGCATGCGAGGGCATGGGCGATGGAGGCAGCTAGCTTGGGCGGGTAGGCAGTCTCCTGATCAGCGGCGTGGTTCGCCGCGCAGGCTTTACCTGGGCAGTCTTTTGCCAAGGATGCGAAGCACGGTGACGTGCTGACAATGGTAGTGCGCTTTGGCTGGGAGCCACCGAAAGCACATTGGTCAAGGCTGACAGTATGTGCACAAAGATGCTGAATGCGACGGAAGGCAGATGTGTCCCAATAGGAACTGCGCTGAGGGTTTTCAATGGCGCAGAGAACACGTCGGCGCTGACACTCCTCCACAACCTCGCTCAGGAATTCATGCAAGGCTTCATGCGAGGATGCATCGCAAGGGGGCGAAGCGAAGACGGCCACCAGCAGAGGGCTCTGCAGCCAAAATCGACAGAGCTCGCGACCTTCAGGTGTCAACAGGTCAGCCAGAAGTGGCAAAGCGGCAGCCTGAGAATGCACACAGTGGTCTACTGCATGCGCAGCGGTTACTCCAAGCTTCCGAAGGCAGGCCGTAACACGCCCTGTGCCTGAGAACAGCTCGAAGATTACGGGACATGTGGGGATTAAACCAGATTCGAGGCTAGGCTGAGGGGGAGGTTTTAGGGTATGACAAATGAAATCCCCCGTGGCCAACTGCGGCATCTGGACGCCGAGACTTGTCAGCTCAGCACGCATGGCCTGACCAAAGGCATCGTATCCCTTGACAGTGAACCCTGCAAGAACAACTCGGTGACCCGTCCATGGGCAGGTAGCATGTCTTGCATGAGCATCGAAAAACGCGCAAGTGCGCGAGACTGGAAGCAGCTCACCGCAGCCGGGGTAGGCTGGATCAGGGCAGACCTGAGAACCTGAGGACGATTCGACCCAGAGCTCTCCATGACTAAAGCCAGTCAAACCGATTAGAAAATTGTCTACACCCGCTGCATTGTTCCGATCGGCATGCAGGGGCGCTTGCACATCTGCGAAGAGCATGAGACTGGTAAAAGGGTGATCCTGCACCCACTGCTTGGCATATGAAGCCAGCATCTGGGTCACAAGGGGAAAAGACCGCATATTTGTGCGTACAGCGTGTACTCCACCATGCACAGTTGCACCTGTGCCCCAGACGAATCCGTCCTGGGGATAGCCCGGGCGATTCTGAGGATCAGAATCTAGCAAAGTGGTGAGCTTCACCACTTGGTCTGCAGTAATTGAAGATTGGGCCAAACAAACCTCAGCAAAGGCTTCTGCCGGATGTGTGTTGTTGGCTTGATGAAGAGTATTAAGCACGACGTCTCCTGTGCAGGTACTGGCACAGTCATTGACAGCTGATGGCGGGTGGTTTCGCTCTGGAGGTTGTCACTGCGGGCATTTGGTGATCGGGTGATCACCTTCACACTTGGCACATACATGCTCTCTTGTGCAAGCATTGCCTAGCTTACAACCTTCCAAGTTAAAACCATAACACACTTGCAAACCCTTGGATGTGTAGGCCTTACCACCGGCATCCTTGATTCGCTTGGGAATTGCCACATTGTGCTGCTGGGGAGGCGGCGCGACGCCAGTGCCTTTGCCTCGGCCCCCTTTGCCTTTGCCATTGCCTTTCCAGGTCTTGCCTTTACCCGTGTATGGGATCCGCGGCGGGCTGTTGTCCCGCTTGCGCTTGTTACCGACCGGTAACGGCAGCAGCAATGCAGAGACCTGGTATGAATCCAAGGCATCATGCAAGTGTGTGTCCATGTCACGCGTCCCATCGGTTTGCTGTCGGGGTCGAGTGCCCCTCTCGACCATATGCACCCACACCATCTTGTCCGCATCCTGTAGCTGTGTGAGGCTGACTCGACTGTGATTTGGAGGAGCCGGGCGGCGGAAGTTCATAAGCAATTTTGCAACATATTTCTCATAGGCACTTAGCGATACGCAACGCGCCATGTTGTATGCATACCCACGCCTCTTCAAGGCCTCAAGAAAAGCCAACGCTCCGTGGGCGGGCTGCTCAGGAGTGTCGGTAACCTCCTTGACATTGATTTTTCCTGACTCGACTTCAAGCACTTTGCTCGGCTGCCGGTGGTTCAGCACTTCATGCTGTCTACTCACGCATTTCTCAACTGGAATATGCCTTAGGACATTCTCTCGTTCCTGTGCGCTAGTGAGCTCCAACAGGCTGTGGCCTGGCTCCGTCGTTGGATCAAGAAAAAGTCCGGGGTTGGCATCTTTAAAAAGCTTTACTCGCTGATCACGCTCGGCTTCTGGAAGCTTCTGTCGACTATTGGCATCGGGATCCACAATGCTTTGCCGCAGCTGTGCTATGAGCATGGTTTGGGCCTCGAAATGAAGACGTTTGAAACTCAGAACCTCGCCAACACTCAGGCCAGTCAAGTTTGCATCGACCCATTCTTTGATTTGGGAGTCCTGAATATCCTGCCCTGGCACTCCGACTGCATGGGCGACCTGGCCCAGGGTTTTCACCCCGATGCCTGCCAGCTTCGTAATGGACTCGGAGGTTATGCCATATGCCTTGCATCGCTGCTCGAAGTGGGCAGTGGAGTCAAGGTAAGCGGACATGGTTCAGAAAGAAAGCTACGTAGGTTTGACGAAGAACAAACTAAGATCCATCAAAGAACACATGTAATGCAATTGAGGGTTTCTGGGAAGCTTCAGGTGTTTCTCTGATTCGCATCAGTCGACATGTCTGAACCATCTTTGCCAAAACTTGCGCATGCACAAGCAACTCAAACCTCACTCACAATACACGTCAAGCTACCTGCACATGTTCATCCCCCTGCACATGTTCAGCTCAACAGATGACACACTTCCCCTCTGGCATCGCACGGACACCATCTTTTCACTTCCCCTTGGAAGGACTCACTAGCCCTGAGGCTACATCCTGTGCTGCAGTTCGCAGCCTACTTGTCGGCTTTCCGACATGTCTGGCAAAATGCCGTTGCTTCTCGTGAGCCTTGGAGCTTCTCAAAATTTTGGGAGCCTGAGCGCCCGCAAGCGAAGACCATTGTTCCTCCCTCCGAGGTGAAGACGATCCTGTGTGCGATGCGAGACTTCACATGCACAGCAACTTCGTGACGCGGCCACACCGCGTCCAGCCTTGGTACCTTGGCAGGCATTCTGGGGGGGGCTTCCCCCGAATCACTGGATGCAGAGCTGGAGCTCTCACTGGAAGATGATGATTCGGAGTCGGAGTCTACACAGACTGGACCAGGTAGGTCGGCAATGGGACCCGCTACAGCAGCGACTTCAGTTTTCACGTCCGAGCCTGAGGGACGAAGGGCCTGATCCTGCTCATGCAGCGTCCTTGCATTCGACTCGAGAGCTTGTGACCTCAAGGGAAAATACTCTGACCGGGCAGCATCAGGTGCGAAGCGCTTCGCAGCAACTTCCAATAACATGCGTTGCAGCTCCCGCGCAGGAGCCGTGGCAAGATCCATAGCATACAAGGCTCGTGAGCTGACGGTCGCCGAAGTGTGGCGGCCCAACACCGTACAAACATCGTCACTCAATCCAAACTTTGCCGCCCAAGAGAGAAGGGTTCGTTTCAGTGAATGCGATGACACACATGACAACCTGTCTTTGCTCGACACTGGCAGAAGAATCTTCCGGAGAAAATTTGTGATCTCATGTGACCTGATTTCACGCAGGCAAAGGGTGTCGCCATATGAGTTGGCGGGGGCCCTCAGGATGGGCCCCCTCAACTCACCCTCTAGCTTCAAGCCTGCATCTTCCAAACACTCCTGAGCTGCATTCAGCCACGTCTGTCCGTGCACCCCGATGGCCGGGATGAGAACCGGCAACAACTCTCTGCAACGCGCCTGTGCACGGCGCGTCTTGTGCTGACCCAGCTCAATGATGAGAAATCCTCCCGCCGGTGAGTGGTCATGCGTGACATTCTGAACATCCGCCAGGTCAGAATGTCTGGCTCTTGCATATAAGGCTAAGAGTATGTATGCTACCATCGCAAGGTCGTATTTGTGCAACTCCCGCTGCTCCAGCAGCCGGTGCAGGAACAGGATCTCACTCACCGTGAGGGGCGATGCTTGCTTAATCCAACCCTTGCCGGTGCGCATCTGTTCAGTGATTCCGCTGACACGTCTACTCTTGAGGATGTGCGTAAGGTCCAGACCCAACACATGGTGTAAGAACCGAAACATGGATACACAGTCGGCTCCTCGCGACGGGGGCGAGCCTGAATGTCTCAGGTGACTGAGGTACTTCCACACGGTGGCCTCGTGTAGGTAACAGCCACTCTCAACACACGACTCCATACACCACTTCAAGTAATTCGCAAGGTTGCCTACCCGCTTGTTTAGTGTGAGAGGACTCCTCACCCCGATCGCCGCTTCCAGCGACTCAGCATCGACCTGCCCTTGGTGCAGAAGTTCCGGGGGAACAAAGGCATTACCCACTAGCTCTAAGTTGATGGCCAACTTGTGGATCCCAACCTGAAGCAACTCCTCACGGCGTTCAAGATATCCCACATCCTTAACAACCTTCACAACCAGCTTAAAGATTGGCTCGGACGGCGAGGGCAGTTTAGCTGCTGGCGAAAGACTCGGTGCAATCGCAGCGGGGGGGGGCTCCGGCATGCTACGTCTTGGCATCCCTTTCAAGCTTGGCAAGCTCGGCAAGTTATCGGCAAAGATGCTCTTCATGGGACCTCGCTCCCACGGAAGCTGAAATCCTCGTGGCGGCACTGGGTGCCGTACAAGCTCGTTCATGACCTGCTCTTGTACAAAGACAGGATCGGCCTCACGACTGCAAGCCGACACCTGTTCGGTCACTTCGCTCATGCATTCCTCACTACCTACAAGACTGTGGAGCGCCCTGTCAAGAGCAGCCTCAGCTTCTGCATCAGCGGAAAGGTTTCGCAAGGCCTCACTAAACCCATCGTCGTATTCTCGATAATACTCTAGCTCCTCTTGCTCATCGAAATCATAATTTGCCAAGTGCTCTTCCCGGACCGGCTCGGCCGGCTGAGAAGGTACATCGCCCGGCAGCTCCTCGCCAGGGCCCTGTGCATCCTCCAAAGAGGCTGGAATGCTTTCGGAAGCGACCGGAAGCTGCGGTTCTCCGTCTTCCAAAGCTATGGGACCCACACTCAACGGTCCCGACTCCAACAACACCCCTGCAACTCCTGAAGCCACCCCCACATTGTCCGAGGAAAGTGCGGGATCTGAGGAGGCGGAGACATCTGGTGCGGCCATCCCTGGGTGGCAGCAGCACAAAGCAACTGAGGCAGGACTTGGGTATTCACAAACCAAGATGTCTGCAGAAGCAGCAAGCGCTCCTGGCAGGGCAGAAAGGGCCAAAGGTTGGCAGTTAGTGCAGAATCGTCGAAGAGGTCTTCGAAGCACCCAAGCACTACACTAGAAGAGCCCGAGGCGGGGCTGGCAGACTCAAGCGGCCCGTGCAAGCGGAACTCTAAAGCCGTAACCCGAAGTTGCAAAGAGGAGATCTGATCCTGCAGCAGATCCTCAACAGCCCGCAGGGAGCTGGGGTGCACCACCGACGACTGGTGGCGGAGGTATGGCTCATACAAGGAGGCTGCACCTCGTGATAGCACCCGGAGCCTGCTAGAATGTCTAGGAGTCTAGGAGCTTAGAAGGCCTCGAATCAAAATTTTTCTTCTGAGCCACTGTGGCTCACACTGCACGGAGATGTATTCTGCTGCACCAAGTCTCATCAGAAACAAAACTCCCCCGAGTTTTTCAAATCAAGAATTTTAAAACGCTATCAACAAGTTGACCGCCAGCTTAATTAAGCATGGTATTTCTTCTTGCAAGATCGATCATTTTTGCTACATGGGCCGATCGATGAATCGTTGAGCATGATGTAATGTTTGTCACGGATTTTTTGGGAGTTGCGGCAATGTTTTTTGCGAGAACCGAACAATTGTGCGGTGTGTGCATGCATGCTTGCAGGTGATCATCGTAAGCAGCTTGCAGTGCAGTGTGCGTGGAACATGCAGCAGCAGATTATAATGATCCATGTTGCAGCTTCCCTAAATTTTAACCAGTTTTGCAGTATATACAGAGTTTAGATCCGGGCAGCATGGAGTTCGATTTGAAAAGCAGTCCGAGGGCGAAGAACACGGCTACAGCAAAGGACATTTGCGCCTGCTTCGTGATTCATTTCAAGAACCGACCTATCGATATAGCATCTTTCAGAGAGGCAGATACAAAAGTCGTGCAAGAGCATGAGGCCTTGATCCAAGAAATCGTGGAAAAAACTTTGAGGCCGACAGTGAATGTCCTGAGGGATGGCATTATGCAGGCCTTTGAGATAAGCAAAGACGATGCACAGGAAATTGCCAAGAAGATCTGCTCCTGCTTCGTTCTTGCTCGAAGCAAGATGCAGAGCACCTCCACTGGCAAGAAATTGGAGCCAGCGCTCTGGAGGCTTGTGCAGAGGCTTAAGAGTTTGTCCGACACTTGCAATTCTTCGCCGAAAGCACCTAGTTCGAAGGCCAGTTCTCACGAAGTTCCATCGACATCCCGGGCTTCCAACTTGAAGAAGAGGTTGTTGTTCTCTCCTGAGAGGAGAGTGAGACGCAAGACGGCTGCACGTCCCGAGTCCGCCAAAGAGATTTTGTCGGTTTATGGACTTAATCGACAGATGCAGAGGAGGAGGTTAAAGATGCAGACGTCGAGCTTGCAGACGAAGGTGGCGATGTTAATGACTTTGGTGTTATTCATGACAGCCAAAGCGAAATTGAAATCTGCTCGTCGGAAAATGAGGAGCCGGCCGCAGCGAAGACCAAAGGACTAGCAAAGAAGGCTTATTTTGACCCTGCGGCTGGATGCTACATCAGATTCAATCCAGATGGCCAAGAAGTGAGAGGAGAACTTTCAGAGGGACCTGAGGGGTTCTGCATGGTTCGCTTTCCATCTGAAATGCCATTCCAATCGGAGGTGCCGAATTTATGGCTTGCTCAGATGAATGAAGGCAAAAAAGGCCCGAAGCTGAAACGAGCTCGTGGGAAAGCTAAAGCCAAAGCGAAGGGCAAGTGTAAGCAGTCGTCCGCCCCGGAGGAGCAGGAAGCACCGGATTCCGAAGCAGCTCCTGCTGAGGAGTCTCCTGATGCAGCAAGCGATTCTGGTCCTGACAAAAAGCTCGAGGCGGCGAGGCCTGCAAATTCTGCAGCTAGTGATGCACTCCTGTTCCAAGGCTATGATATCACAGGAATGCCAGAAGACTCAGCCACCGGCCGATGCTTCGGGCAAGCACTCTTACACTGTTCGACTGCCGGACGGGATCGCCATTGACGTCCTTGTGAGGAACAAGGCTTTCTGGATCAAGAAGCCAACAGAATGCCGATCCCAGTACTCCTGGTCGCAATACGACAATTTAGCAGATGCTTGGAGTGACTGCATTAAATATTGCCGGGATTCTTTGGCAGACAAGCAGAAGAAGGCTGAGTCGGTTAAAACCCTGACCTGAATCGTGCGGGTGGCGGGGATATTTCGATCGAGCTATAGGATTGTGTATATCAGCGATTGTACAGGTGGATGGAATTGCAAAGATCGACATGCTGCATGCATGCAGGATTGGACGAAAAATATTTTTGTCAGAAGTTTTGCAGTTTCGCATAGTTTGCTTAAGTCACTAGTGCAAGTGCAGAGATTTTGACGAATCATGTTGCTGGTGCACACACATGCTTGACTTGATGTTGCTGCAGCCGTTTTTGCATGAGTGTTTTCGTTGTTGCTTTGTAAAGTCCGGGCCTCAGAGTGCTAGCAAGTTCCGAAGACACATGTTGAGATCTGGACATGTGCTCTGCCAGTGCAGGTGTTAGGTGTTGTTTTGCTGACTGCATGCACTAGCAGTTCAGAAGTCCAAGCATGAGCTCCTTGGGAGGAGCTAGGTTAAAGAATCTTGGCTGTGCTTGCAGGTCTGGCGGCAGCAGCTGCGATCCCGGTCGATCTTCAAATTCGAGATCGAGGTGCGACGGCATATGTTTGCATTTCTGTGCAGCAGTCTTAATTGCAGTGCATGCTAGCTCCTTGGTAGGAGCATGTGCATGTTTTGAGATGCAGGTGAGATGTAGATCTGCTGGCGATCGCTGTTTGCAGGGCATACAGATGTGCTGAAAACTCCTTGGTAGGAGGTAGCAGTCAGGATTCGAGTATTGTGCAGCTGCGATTGCTCGATATCTTTTTTGAGCTTGGTAGCTCTGCAGCTATGTTGAGCAAGTCGCAGCGCGATGCACCTGAAGCCCTGCAGGACATTCGTATGTGTCCGAAGTGCGGCACCCGCAGTTATCTCCGCAAGCGGGTGTGTATCAACATCTTATGCCAGTGGTATTACATGCGTCAGGAGCCCAATACCAATCTTTGGGCACGTGGCCCCATTCAGAGTTCAAATGCCCAGACTGCATCCTCGGGGTCCCTGGGCTCTTCGAGCATGCAACGATCCTGGAGCTGGACCTCGTGGAAGAACAGCGGCTACGCTGACGGCGTATATCAGAACAAGCTTGAGCAACAACTCCAAGACGTCCTCGAGGAGGAGGAAGCGGACTCGGAGGAGCCGGAGGACCCGGAGGTTCAGGTTGTGGCTGCTCGGGAAGGCGACGGGCCACGGATCGAGGAGGTCGTGTCCAGCGACGAAGAGGCGAATGCCTTCATCTTCGGCTTGGAGAAGAAAAACCAAGTGAGCTCTTATTCCGAGTATGAGGAGGCCCGCCATGCATGGGAAAGCGCTTCCCAGGAGCACAAGGCGGGGCATGCTCTGAGGTCAGCCATAAAGATGGAGAAGGAGCATAGCTATGGCAGCTATGGCTCGGAGAAGGCTGCATCGGCAGCCCAAGTGGCCCTTGAGGAGGGCCAAAAGTGGCAGAGGCTTCAGGCCAAGGGTGCTGCTTCGGAGAGGTTTGCAAAAGCAGTGGAAAAACGGCGCTTTGTGCCTGTGAAAGCAGAGCCGCCGGTGCAGGATGACCCGTATATGCAGTATGGGCAAGCTCCTGTGGAGGAGCCAAGCACCGGGGCCGGTGACACTGCTGAGCAAAGCACGGCTGCGAATGAGCAAAGTACGCGTGAGGATACTTGGGGCGATTATTCAAGCAGCTATGGCCGTGGTTGGAAGAGCGGCGGTCGCAAGCAGCAGTCGAGCTCCAGCTGGGAGAGGCCCGGCCCGCAGAGTGGCAGAAGCCAGGATGCCATGCAGAAGTACAATGAATGGGAAGAGTTTATGGATAAAAAATCCCAGGCTTATTGGGGCTCGGATCGATGGCAGCGGGACTATGCCTCTCAGGAGCAACAGCAGTCTTTCAAGAAGAGCAAAGGCAAGAAAAGAAAATTGTGGCTCGCCAGCCAGATTGAGACTCTGAAGCAGGAGGGCAGATGGGTCGGAGGAGCTCCGTCGGAATCCTCCAAGAAGCTTCGTTTGATCCGTGAGGCCTGGGTTAAATTCTGTGGTATCAGGGTATATGCTCCTAGGTAGGAGCCAGCTTCTGCAGATGCTCAGTGCATCTGTTATAACTTAAGTCACATCAGTATGAAGCACATGTTCATTCTGTTTGCAGGCCGAGGCGAAGCAGATTGCAGGCCAAGGAGCCCGTCAGGAGGGCGGTGGTGCAGCTGAGGAGCCAGCTGCAGTGGATGCGGGTCCTGACGAGGCTCAGGAGGAGCCCGGCTCGGGGCATACCTGGCAGAGCTTCCGATCCATGGTGGAAGGCGCCGAGACCATTGAACACGTGATTGGTCTTGATGAAGCCTACAAGCACCTGAAGAATAACGAAGCGGAAACACAGGCAGAGCAGGCGGCTGCAGATGAAACCCAGGAAGACCCTGAGGATCTGACGAACTCCGTTGAGGCAGTGTCTGCTGTAGCATAGGTGTCTTCCGCCGGATTGATCTTCCCGCAACGAGACGATAAAAACAAGGACTCCTTGGCAGGAGTCGCCAGCTAGTGTGCATCTGTGTTTGGGTCGGCAGTGCTCGTAGGTTGCAGCTTGTTGGTAGGAGTCGGCAGCTGGTGTGCATCACGTTTGCAGTTTGTTGCTCCTTGGTAGGAGTGGTCCTGCTCCTGGGTAGGAGTTTGTTCACGTGTACACATGCATGTCGTCTAGCGATTGCCAGGTCTTCGCAGCATGGAGGATCAGAACCCAGGCCAGTTCCATTTGTGATTCGTGTCCAATTCTCTCTGAGGTCTGTTGTGGGGAGTGATGGGTGAAGATAGATTCTGGTAAGCGACGAAAAATTTTTAACAAGCTTTTTTTTAACAAATTTTTAACTGTTAAAAAAAAAAGGCTTATGAAAGGAATCCCTTCATAAGCCATTTTTTTTAACAGTTAAAAATTTGTTGAAAAAAAGCTTGTTAAAAATTTTCGGGGTCTTCCTAGACCCAGGTGCGGATCCGCAGAGCGACCATTCTCCACCGCATTGGCATCGGCAGCTGTACCCAGCCAGGTTCTTGGATTCAAGTTCGGCAGCAGAGTTTTGACTTTCTGCAGGCCAGCCCTGCCATGCAAAGGCTCGATTGTGGATGAAACAGCAACTGAGCTGGCACATGGGAGGCATGAGGCAGCGACCTGTGCTTCATTTGCCGTTGTTCGCTTTGCAGCTGATGAGAAGGCTTTTCACGACCCGGTTGAGTGCATTCGCTCTGTGGTTTCTGTACGATACATTTGATTGCTCCGAGCAGTGCTTCCAAAAGTTCTTGTATGAATGGTATACTCGTTATGTTGGCTATTGGAATGATAGATACTTCCTGAAGTGTCGCTCGGTCTCTGGAAGTGCCATCTCCTTGGCTAGGAGATTGGGTGCTGACATGCATTGGTGGCAAAACGATTATGATTTGGACGAGCTCTGACCTGCCGGCGAAGGCGATGGTGTCTTGCAAAATGAAATAACTTATGCATGCTGTGTGCAACAGTGAACATGTCATGGCACTCGTGTGCCACCGTTCTCGACTCTTCGCATGAATTTTCTGCTGAATCAATGTTTAGATCGAGCTCAGCTCACGATATATGATCGGGTAGCATTCCTGTAGCCTCCCCGGATTGATGGCGCCGGCCCAGAGCAAGGGTGGCAAAGGTCCGCAGAACAGCAAGATGGCCAAGGCCATGGCTGCAAAGAGCAAGGCCGCCAAGGCTAAGGTTAAGCACGAAAAGCAGGCGACCCCCAAGAGGAAAGCCAAGGCTGCCAAGGTGGAGCTCGGTGATGCGGGCGAGGAAGACGATGATTCAACGGCACCTAGCGGCTTGGGGTATGCTCGGGGCACAATTTCAGCTGCTTTGACCGGCTTCGCTATCAGCTCAAAGCCAAAAAAACTACGGATGAAGAGAAAAAAAACGCCCAAAAAGTACTCGAAGACCGCCTGCATCTTGCACTTCCGGTACTTCCGTGCCAGTTGTTTTGATTCTTGTTTTCGTTCCACTGGTGCTCCTTGGCAGGAGTACAAGGCGGGAGACATTGCCACCAAGAGAGAGATTGAGCAAGGTCTCACAGTTTGGCGTCCGTTAGTGCAATTGGGTGCACGATTTGGTCAAGACGACCGTGAATACCAACAGTGAGCGAAGATACCGTCAAGAACTGGTACACTTGGATTTTCGGTGGCAGTTTTGTCAGATTTTTGCTCTTGTTTGATTGTCTATTCTATGATTGTATTCTCTGGGCTTCGACTATGGAACGGATGATTATATTAAGCATGCATGCAGACTGCATGCAGAACGGCAATTTTCAAGCAGGAGGGCATCGATGAAAGCGGCTTGGAGGAAGATATGAAGAAGGATCTGCTGGAAGAGCTGATGTCCGAAGCCGAAAAGCGGTACGGCTATGAGAGATCGACAAAATTCACCCCAAGTTCGAGGTGCTCAGCAAGTACTTCTACGTGCACTCGAAAGGCCAGGTGGCCCGCCAGGCCACTGAGACGGAGGAGTCCCTGGGAAGCCATTGTTCCGGCATGAAAAACTTGCAGTTGAAGGACAAGAGGTCCCTCGACATCATGTTGGACAAGAGTGCGGCAAGCTCCAGTTCCAAGGATCCGGCTTTTGCAGCCGAGCCAGAGCCATACTCTGGCAAAAGATCTTTTGAAGAAGATCGTGGCCGAGAAGAGAAAGCTGACCCAAAACAACGAGCAGCTGAAGTCTTTGAAGACCAAGATTTCCACGAAGTACAGCGGGGACAAAACATGGGATAATCACAAGGACGACGTCGATCAGGCGATCGCAGCTCTCGAGGACTTCTTGGGTGTTCTCGCCAGCACGAGGCCGAGAGTGTGCCGGCGGATGTTACTTCCAATTGCACCGAGCTTGTGGCCACCTTTCACACTGTCGTCGACCAGGCTGCCAACCACGACAAAGGCAGCAAGGCCTTGCTCAAGAAAGTCAATGGCCTGATGGAGTGATCGGCCCTAGGCTTGAGATTCATCACCCGATGATATTATCCGGTAGGAGTACAGGTGTTGTTCCAAGTGCCTTGAGACGGAGCTCCTTGGCAGGAGAGGCAACTGACCTCGCAGTGGTAGAAAATGCGTGCATGCAATGCTTCTTCTCGCATGTTTGCAGCTATGAGACCCGTGAGTGCTTGCAGACTTTCTGTTGCTTCTTACATTCTGCAGGCTCGGCCCCATGTCGCACAGGCACGTGCGCATAGCTACTTCGATCAAAGTAAATTCATATACTAAGACAGTGTATGTTTATAAACACATATATATATCTATACTGTATATATGAAAACCACATGTACTTTGGATTAATTTTTTGATTGTCCAGACATTGTTCTGTAGGGTTCGCTTCGCTTCGAGACTTGCCGGCAATGTTCAACAAAAGATCTTTGACAACAGAAGATGTCCAGGCCGTTGCTCCTGCAAGGTCCGAGATGGTCGACATATTTTTAAACAATGAGCTCAGTTCTGAGCGAAGCGCTCGAGTACTGCGGTCAGCACAGCAAGCCGGGGCACTGCATGTGGAAGATTTACAGGTCCGCCCAGAGACTCGCAACACGCATTGGGATCTTTTGCGAAAATGTTTCAGAAACACGATGGCCTTTGTTAAATCATGCAAAGGTTCGTGGCTGGAATCAGGCGAAGAATACGTCTGAAGAGTATTCCTTGGCAATTTTGCTGCCTCACGAATCCTTGCACTCACTGCTGAAAGTGAACACGCCAGAGGCCTTACTTGAGCAGCAAGCCAAGATCTTGCCTGACAGGCCTGACCTGGAGAACCACTTGCATTTTTTGGAGGATGAGTTGGGCTTGGATTCTGAATCCACTCTCCTCATGGGAATGTGGTGCGATGGTGTGCCTTTCAACAGCGACCGATCCATGACTTTGGAGACGATTTCTTTGAACATCTTTGGCCAGCAGAATCTTCGCCTGCCTGTTGCGGCCTTTCCAAAAGAATTTGTATCCAAATCGCAAACTTTTGAGGATGTATTCGATCATAGTCTTTAAGCAGCGGCGCGGGGAGCATGCCAAGCTGCCGACACGATGGCATGCCCTTCAATCGAACCAATAGTTATCGACAACGTTTGGCAGGCAAAAAGCTTCCACTGAGAGCTGCTCTGGCTGAATTTCGAGCTGATTGGAGCTGTTACAAGGACGTTTTGAGCTTCCCTTCTTGGAGTTCGAAGGGGTTTATCTGTTGGCGGTGTATGTGCCACCGAGCTGATTTGAAAAAATTTGATACTCAGACTTTCGCCAAGCATCTGGGATTGATAGATTCAAAGTTTTATATCTTTTGGCATACCCTAGCATGATACAGTCGACTTCAGGAGTCAATTAACCGGCTCGAAATATCGCCACCAGGAAAGAATTGTCTTTTAATTTCGACGTGTGAGGCATGCTAGACAGTTGAAGTCGATCGCTTATTCCTGGCAGTTGCCTTTGCCTCAGGTACCCTCTCATTTCCAGCATGGACTTCTTCATGCGCCAGAGGCAGCAGAATAAATTGGTGTCGAGATTATTTTCTTGCCCAGGATTCAATACGGCTTGCTGCAAGATGGACTTTTTACACGCTTGCGACCTCGGAGTAACATCCGACTGGCTTGGGTCTTTGCTGTTTTACTTGCAGAATGAGAAGATCCGAGGCCTGAGCAAACTCATCCGATGTGCCAAGCTGTACCAAGACATCAAGGCATACTACGACAGAGCTGGGGTCCAAGATCGATTGCCGAAGCTCCTTCCCACCATGCTTCGTGAAGAGGATCGAGGCAAGATCAAATCCCCCAAGTTGAGAGCCAAAGCAGGGGAAGCTCGAGCACTCGTCGGTGCTGCCATGGAATTGGCTACAAAGTATTTGTCGCCAGCAAAGCCTGCTGAACAGGCGATGTTGCATGGCACAGAAGCTTTGCAGTCCATATATGCCTGTCTCAGCACTGCAGCTTGGGACAAGGAAGTCTTCAGAGTTTCTTCTCAGAAGTTTCTTTTACTCTGGGGCAGCCTCGAGACTTACTTCGAGGTGGACAAGCTCTTCAGGGTTAAACCTAAAGCCCATCAGCTGTTCGAATTGGCCAGGGGCGAGGTGAACCCTAGCAAGACCTGGACCTACAGGGATGAGAGCTATGGGCATACCCTAGCATTGCTGGGCAGACGGCGTGGTGGCAAGTTTTCGATGAATGCTGTTTCTTGTCAAGTTCTCAGACGATTCCTGGCAGCTAATAAAGTTCCTCGAATCGAGATCGGCACGTGATCCTTGGGAGGAAAAAACACGTGCAGTCGATCGTCCGCATGCATGTATATAATTGGGATGCATATACAGAAAATAACATTTCTTAATTAAGCATTGTTTTTGCCATTTACATACCATGCTTAAATAGACAGTATAGTGTTTAATCAAGATGATTAAAGATATCTAAAAATTATTTAAGCATCTTTGGAAGCTCTGGGTCGATGGAATCACAACGTGCCGCTGCACTGCCAGTATGAGCAAAACGACTTCACTAACAATGTGGACTGTGTGACACAAAATGTTTTGGAGGCTCATTTCGGGATTGGCCTTCCAACAGTCAGCGGAGGAGTTGCTGTGAATCCCCTTGTCGATGTCTGTTTAGTTCTCATGGATTGGAAGATTGTAGACTTCTGGCAAGAAGTTTTGGTCTTCAACTGCTTCACCTCAGAGTCGAGTTCCGATCTTGGGAGCTTGAAGACTTCGGGGCAGTTTTGCGAGCATTAGACACAAACAGGGCCACACAAAGCTTAGTGAGTCTGGAAAGTGACTTTTGCTTTTCAGCGAAAAAGGCTTCTCAGGATCCAACACCACGGCAAATGATCAAACTCTCATGTTTCCGCAGGTGCACAGGGAAGACCTCTGGGGAGCAAATGCTGCATTCATCTGCGGCAGCAACTCTCTTCAGCAGGTTCCAGTTGCAGACCTCGGAAATTTTGATGTCTTGCTGAAGGTTCCAGGTGAAGACCTCGGAAATCTTTATTTTGCTGAGTGTGTAGATCTAACACTTCTGTTTTCTGCGAACAGCGAGACAAGAAGCAGAGTCTTTCAGAACAAAGGCGCTCGAAGAGACGTCTACTAGATTAGGTCCTAACCAGAAGTCCAATTTTAGAAGAGTTTTTCATGAATGATTTTGGCATTATCGGCATGCGGGATCTCTTTCATGACTTGATCTCATTCGGCATGGCCGCGCTCGCTTCTTTCAAGCATCAGGCGGCCGGGCCCATCATTCATGAAATTTTTGAAGCCATTTTGGCTCAAGCATCAGGGGGCCGGGCCCATCATTCATGAAATTTTTGAAGGCCTAGGGAGGCCGCGCATGGACCGGCGTCTTCGACGCCCGCCGCCGGCTCGTCGCCGCCTGCTGTTGCTGCATTTTTATCAGTGCCTGCTGTGGAGGGGCTGGCAGTCTCAGATTCTGCGGCCGCATCCCCAAAGGGTCAATCTTCAGCATTTGCTTGGGGCCACGGCTCCTGGGGCTCGTCTTTTGCTGCTGCTGGGAGTTCATTGCTTGGACAGCTGCGCTCTGTAAGCCGTGCCATTGCTGCAATTTTTGCAGCCATCCGCCAGCAGGTAACTCATTATCGCCGCTACCTTGCTGTCGCATACAATCGCGCTTGACATGGCTGACCCCGCTCGCCAGGTTGATGAACTTTTGGGCTCCATTGATCTCACAGATGCCGGGGGGATTGCGGACCATGAAGCCCAGGCCCAGTCTGCAGTGCCCAGCTTTGATCTCGACATACCTGTTGCACGCTCCGACCAAGACATTCCCGACAGTCAGCTGCTGTCCATGCTTGAGGACGATGAAGTGTGGGACGGCCCTGCTCCTTGTGCCCCGGACCCTTCATGTGCTGCTGGTATTTCAGACTTGGAGAGGGAGTGGTACTTGATTGCGGGATCTTTCGGGGCTGCTGATGCTGTGAGCGCGCCCTGTGAGCCGTCACCACCGAGCTTAGAGCCTGAGCAACCTCCGGCGGTCCCTTTGGACAGCACCGCCGAGGACCAGTTGCAGCAGAGTGCAGTGGGGCATATCCATAAGAGGCTCCGCATGGAGGCCCCGCTTCTCCCGTGGGAACGGCAACCTTTTGCCGCAGTCTTCGGGGGCCCATCCTGGCTGGATACCTTGCAACGTCAGATCAGCATGGATCTAATGCCTGGGGTGGGTAGCGCCGATGTTCTTAAGCCTGCGTTGCCTAAGGTTCATGCCCCTAAGCCCCAGATTGTTGCTGCGTCACTTTCGAACCGCCTTCACCGCTTCAGGCCGGAGGCTTCCGATGAGGATGTTCGCAATCTTGCTTTGGCCAAACTCAAGGTATTGATTACTTGCGACCCGCTAGCCAGCGAGCTGGGTAAGTCCTTGATTGATAAGCTTGGAGGTCTTGTGAAAGAGGCTGTGGTAGCCCAGTCCTTTGCAGATGCTTTCCGTGCCAAGGCGTCGTCCACGCTTAACGGGCATGCGTGTGCTCTCACAAGGTTTAGTGCATGGTGTGCTCGCCAAGCTGCCGAGCCTCTGCGTGCTGACGAGGAACAGCTATATGCGTACTTGTGTGAGATGAGGTCTTCCAACCGGGGGGCTACTTCTGGGAACAAGTTCTTGCAGTCGCTGACTTTCTTGGAGCATGCTGTCGGACTACTTTTCATGTCAACTGATGTGGTGGCTTCCGCGAGGGTTCGGGGCGTCGCTCGAGACATGGCCCTAACCAAGGCTCCTCTGTCTCAGAGGCCCCCACTCACGGTGGAGCAGGTCTCGGCTCTGGAGGCCCTCATGGTCAATGACTTGAATGACACCGACGCCTGTGTGCTAGGCCAAATTCTTTTCGCAGTTCACTCAGCTGGAAGATGGAGGGACATACAAGGATTACAATCTGTTGATGTCTCCGAAGGTTCTGAGACCGTCCTGTTGCTGGCAAATGGTCTAAAGAGCAAGACCACGCACACGGCTGAGGCCCAGAGGAGGCTGCTGCCGATGTTGCTATCTCCACTGGGGTCTCGGGCTACGACTGGGGAGACCGGTGGCTCACTGCTCGAAGGAACGAGGGCCTTCAGTGGGGAGGGGATTTTTGCCTATTGGAGCACAGCCCGCGTGGGCTCGGGTGAAGCATCTGCATATCTTCGGGACTTCCTTGAGGCTGTCAGCTTGCCCAACCCCAGGGTTGGAACCCACAGCCTCAAGACCACCTTATTGACGTGGGCGAGCCGCTCGGTCAGAATCGACTTCAGTGAGCCGGAAAGGCTACACCTCGTTCACCACTCTGCTCCGGGCACGAGGTCGATGTATACAGCAGAGAGGCTTATTCGAAGCTCTACGCCAAGGTCCTGGCGATGTTCAAGACGATCGGGGATGGATCGTTCAGCCCAGACCTCCCTCCGGCTCGCCGGGTCGAACATCTTGCTGAGGCCATCATGGTGGGTAGCTCCCAGGCTGCTAGCTTGGGGCCGCATGCTCCTGCTGGAGAGGAAAGTGCTTCTTCGGATGACTCCGAAGCCGGTGTCCTCGAGGGCCACGATGGGCGGCAGGCGCCCGACTTGGTGCGCGGGGCCTTCCCGGACCGCTTCCTTCAGGACATAGTGGTTCACAGGTTCTCTGGCATATCGCACGTGGTTAAGGACTCAGGCATGCTTTGGTGCCATCGGCCGGTGAGCTCCAATTACTCCCCGTTGGCCGAGGCGGGTGTTGCAGCAGAGTTTCCAACTGCGTGCCATCAGTGCTCGCGAGCCCTAGGCTTGGAGGATGACTAGTTTTATGAATCCGTTGAGGCGTACCGGCAAAAAGAATGCTGACCTCAAGTCTGGCAGCTCTCTTCGACTGTGATGTGAGTGCGTGGGCGTAGTCTTCCTATGAGGGGACGACCCAATCGAAGCGCTACCATAGGAGCCGGGTTGGTGAGCGTTGGCATGTCACTTGCCGCTTGCTGCCCGTAGGCTCAGCGATCACATGTCGGGCTGAGGAGGTAGTGACTGTCATGTACCACTTCACGTCTGACGCGACACTTGACTAGGACTCAGACAACACTGCACAACACAGAGCTGCTAGTCACGTCTAGCTTGCTGCGCTGATCATGGCTTCAGGTCTTGACTCTTCGGCTTACTTCCTCGAGCGGGTCACCAAGGTTGGTCTGTCGAATGAGCTGAGGGATGCCCTAGCCCAGGCCGGGTACACAACGTTCGGGTCCCTGGCTTTCGCTGTGTCATCTACCCCGGGTGCGGTCAGCGATGAGGCCGTCTCCAGGTGGGCATTGCGCCTTGCAGATCCGCTCCCGAGCGAACACCAGATGTCAGTGCTGCGCCGTCTTCTCTTCGAAGCTCAGTCTATGTCTATAGCCGAGATGCGTGACCGAGTCAACCTCAGTCCAGGCGAGGCTCCCACCCGCAAGCTGCCGATGATCGAGCGGGCAGAGAGGCTTAAAGCTCTCCGTCGCAAGCTGCCTGGGTTGATCTTAACACCGGACACCTTACCGGCTAATCGCTTGGTAGACAACTATGTCGACCAGCTTGATTCGGGTGTTCTCACATACGTAAAACCAGATGCGTGCATCAGCCGAGCCCAGGAGATGGACTCCAATAAGAGGGATCCGACTTTGCAGGTGCAGGGGAATGAGTTGAGACTTGCCGCCAAGCAGGTGGAGCTGAGGTGCACCGTCAGCACTGACATGCAATTGAGGCAGGCTTGGACCCGCAGGTCCCTCGCAATGGAGCTTGCTCAGCTCGCTTCGTTCACAGTGCTTGAAACGTGGGTCCAAGGCTTATTCTCAAGAATGCAGAGGGAGCCCCCTGCGGGGTATCACGCCATTTCCCTCTCGCAGGTCATGGCCGCCGATCGTGAACTCTTTCAGCTTCTTTCGCACAATCTTATGGGTCAGATCCAAGCTTCTGCAGGAGCCGTCAGGCCCCTCGACCTTGAGATTGACAGCTTGAGTAAGAGTACGGATGTGCTCGTTCACCTGCTGCCGCTTGTAAAGCCCCCTCCGATGCCTCATCCGAATAAGCGGCCCCTTCCCGATCCGAGGCTACCACTTAAGACCAAATACACCCTGCCTGACGGCTGTGTCCCCAAAGTGAGGACGGCAAACCTTGGTGCTTTCTGTGGAATCAGGGCCGCTGGAAGTACAAGAATCCCAAGAAGGGCCGATGCCCGAGGGGATACCATGGGTGCTACTACCGCGGGTGTGGCAGGCCGGTGCCGTTCATCGAGTGCACCCACACCGATCCCGCCTGAAGGGTGCGGGCCCCCGCAGATCCTGAGCCTGAGATCCTGCCCGAGGGGGCCGCGTCTCCGAATCCGATTTCTCCGTCAGGCCCTAGTGGCCGTGAACCACAGGATGCAGAGAGTTTTGCGCTGAAACATCTGGCGAAGGCCGAGGTCTCAGCCTCAGCTGTGGTTCAACTGTCATTCCTTTTGCCTTGTGAGACAAGTGTTCGGCCGACAAGTGGCCCCAATGCTTTTCTTTTCAGCTGTGGTGCCTACGTCCACGGGGGTGTTTCGGGTATTTTTGCTAATACTCGTAGCCTCCCTGCAAGCACCGAGCTCCTTGCACGTTTTGCAAAGCAGATTGTCGGGGACTCTTTTCCATTCACATCCTTGGTGCTCCTTCGGGACAACCTCACTTGCATGCATCGCGATCGCAACAACATTGGCACCAGCGCCCTCATTCGTTGCTCAGACTTCCACGGTGGTGGCCTCTGGGTCTCTGACCCCGAGGGCTCATCGCCCAGACTGTTCGAAGGCAAGAAACACCAGGGTACAGAACAGGATCTTGTGCAATGCCTGTACTTCGATCCCTGCCAGCTGCACTGTACCTTGCCCTGGTCAAACGGCCCTCGGGTCGTGGTTGCAGCCTACTCAGTTCGTGATGTCGGCAGGCTTCCCACCGACCTGCTCCTCAAACTCGGCTTCGTTCGGGAGTCGTGTAGGGCGGGCGCTCCGGCTGCCACCGTGTCTCCGATGCTCCAATCCCAGACCGCCCCTAGTGGTTTAGGCCCTGCCTGCCCGTCCCCTAGGGTTGAAGGCTCGCCTGCTTCTGTCGGCCACTGTGAGCCGCCGCAGATTCCTTTGCGGCCCCTCTTCGTCGAGCTTTTTGCCGGGTCCGCCGGGTTGTCGAGGGCTATGCTCGACCTGGGGTTCGAAGTCGTTACCTTCGATCATTATGTTACATTCTTTGAACACTTGCAGAAGATATGGCTTTATCGTTCGAAGAAAAACAACATGACAAAATGACTCAGAGAACTGAGTCCAATTTTGATTTGTTGTTTTAGGGCTTTGCTTTTACACTGCCTTTTTATGAACCCTCATTTATACATGCTGTGAACCAGTTGAAGAATACATTCGCCCGTTGCAGCTTGACCTCTCGAAGGGGCAGGAAGCCCTGAATCGGGCGAGAGTTTTATTTGAAATAGGGGGGCGGGCCGGATGCTTGTGCCTCAGTCTCTCGCTGGGAGGTCTTGATGAAGTGATTCTTCTGCTTGAATGCGACTTGAGCCTTGAGCTTACAGTATCCTGCTCAACTTGCAGAGCGATCTGCGGTTGCCCACTTAGCTGGAGCTTTGTTGGTTTTCGGTGTGTGATTTTAGCACTGACCTGTGGTTCAGGCGCATGCAATCACCTGAAGTGACCGGAGAAGAAGCAGAGGCGCCGACGCCCTCGGATTCGTTTACATCCACTGAGAGCTTTGTGTTACGTCACATGCGTGGATTACAGATCCAGATCTGTCGGCTGCATAGAATGCAGCTCATGCTTGCTGACCGCCTTTTCGATCGCGTGTCGCGGTTGGAGTCTCAGCAGATGCTCGTTTCTTGCTTTCTTCATTGGAAGTTTTGGGCTGGCCGCAATTCTGATCCGGAGCATGCTCCTCGAGGATTGCTGGAACCTCAGTTCCCGTAGTGAGACTTTGTGTAGCCTGCCTCTTGCTCAGAGGAAGAGAAAGGCGGGCGAGGCAGACTTGCCCTGGGACATACCTCCGGGGTATATCTTCAGGATGCGGGGAGTCGTTACTGACCGCCTAACAAGCTACATGACCATCACGCTCGATATTCAGCTGAGTTGCAGAGATATTGTTGATCAGGCGAAGTACTTAGTGTCCCAGCGCTTGTTCGAGCTTTTTGGTCGCTTTCCTCAGATGAGCTCTTTTCAATTGGTCCAGGATGGCAGGCACCTGAGTTTTTCAGCTCCAGTGCTAGTGGCCAACACGTTGTCACCTGTGAGATTCGTTCGCACTGCATAAAAGTCTGAGCGGGGACTTGCTGATTATTTGCGCTGCTCTCGGAGTGCGAGGGGCAGCAGGCAGGCAGGGTGAGAATGCACAGGTCTTCCTTTTTGCTCCACGTTTGCAGCCGTTGTGTCTCAGGCAATTTCCAGCAACTCAGCGGGGATGTCGGATAATGCTAATTCGGCAGAGGTTTTAGAGACTGACGCTGAGATGTCATCGTGGAGCTCAGCTTTCGATTTCCTGGATGACCCTGCCCAGACGAAACGACCAGACAAAAAGAAGAAAAAGAAGGACGGACGGGACCGGCGAGCCCGCAAGAAGCCATCTAGGAAGGTGGGCAAGAAGCGTGGGAAGAGCTCGGATTCTGCAGCGATTGTCGAACTCAATACCGGGCAACAGGCGAGCAGCTCCACTGAGCCTGCGGCGAACATTGTGTCAGTGGCTGCATCAGGCATGCAGACAGCCTCTGAGGAGCTCCAGACCTCTGGAGAGTTCACCTTCGTTGCGGTGTGGCGGCCGGGGCCCCCACCGCCGCGAGTTGGCAAGACGCGCGCGGTTGCAAAGATGCTGGTTCGCGCGGGCATACGCTGCCCTTGTCATTATGCTCGTGAGTGCCCCGACAGACTTCGGGTCTCGCCGGGACCCCAGATCGCTGTACCCCCACCTCGGAATGTGGAGAGATGGCGTCGCAAGTAATTTCGATTTCGCGAGTTTTCTGTATGCTCAGGCCGGATGTTGGCGAGAGTTAGCACTTCAGCGCTTCGGAGGCGGAGTCTTTATCGTGCCTATGAGGCGGAAGAAAGGTGTGTCGGCAGAGAGCCTACAGCATAGCAAGATGCTATTGGGACAAGAGTCCATGGTGAGGTGGGGCGAAGTTCCCCTTGATGCGCAGAGATGCTGTTGCAGTTTTCGGGCTCATTCTCTTTGCGAGTCTAGTTGATAGCCATGACGTCCTCGACTGATTCGTCTGAGTACGAGTCTTCCTCCGAGGAGACCGAGGTCTCGGACAGTTCGTCGCCGGCCAAGAGGTCGAAGCTCCGGAAGCAAGTGAAGAAAGCCAAGAAGGGCAAAAGCCACAAGGCCAAGAAGGCCAAGTCTAGCAAACGTGCTAAGACTTCAAAGGCCAAGAAGTCCAGGCGGAAGAAGGAGAAGAAGTCCCGAAAAGAATCGGATGCCACACCGGGTGGTACGGACCCCTGGAATAAGGCGACCTCTGGTTGGAGCGGGGGTTATTCTTGGTCGGCTGGAGATTCAGCCAAGTGGAAATCAGATGCTGCGACGTCGAGTGCCGGCTGGGGGCACAAATGGAACAAGTGGGAGAAGCCGCGCCAAAATTGGCAGCCCAAAGCCGCAGCTAAGGCGCAGATCCTGAGCCCTAATTTGGGCGGGGGCGACACCAGTAAGAAGCAGCGGTGGGAGCACGATGCTGCTCCCGATGCATGGGCGGATTACTGGCAGATTGCCAGGCAAAACAACGAGGAAGATGAGTGGCGAGTTCCGTGCCCGGCAGCGGCTCGGGACGAGGGGATCATCCCGGTTCTTGCCTCCCCCGATGAGCATGAGATTGCTCGGATTGCCGATGAGGTCCTCCTTTCCTTTCAGGTTCCTCGAAGCATGCTAGAAGCGGTGGTTCGCGCTATGCTGCAAGCGGAGGTGGTATGCCCCACCGTCGATGGAATCCCCACGATTTTCCAGATCAGGGGAGAAGGCTGGGGTCATTTGGTGATCCCTGTGGTGGAGCAGGGCACGGATGCCCCCCTCCAATCAACCATGCATCGCGAGCTCCTGGAGTCCGAGACGCATCATTATTCTTTTGCACATGGGACCTCGCAGCATGCACTTCCTCTGATCCTGAGGGAGCGGATCATTCGTCCCCAAAACTTCAAGAAGGGCTCCACTCCTACCGTAGGCCCTTTTGGGGTGGCTTCACCGGGCCACCTCACGATGAACCCCGATTGCAGTACTTTGAGGACCATTTTGAAGAGGAGCCGCTCGATCAGCAAAGGCCAACAGCCCTCGACCATCCTTTGTGAGGTCAGGACCCCGGAGACCCATGTCAAGTTGGACGCCGGAACTGGCGAACAGTTGCAGATTTCTAGCCGAGATGCAGGACTGGCTGTGGGGCGGGATTCGGCAGTGGCTAGGTCTGACCTGACCTACATCCTGGGTGTGGCCATCACCTACCCCTTTTAGGGACCTGGTCGCGAGCTGACCTGAGCACCAGAATCTTCCTGAATGGAAAAACAACCGAGACCGGTTTGAGTCGTTCATGCTCGCTTTTGGTTGTTTGTTATTGCAACGAAAGTTGGGCCTTGAAGCCATGGCATGTACCAGACACTGATCCCACAGTAGTTGATCATGCGCCGGTCGGTTCAAGTTTTGACCGTTTTGGTGGGGCGGAGTTCCTGCCAGAGTTCTTGCGATGTCTGGCCACGACCCTAGAGCGAGTGAGAATGAAGTGTTCATGCGAAACATAACCCATGCTCGGTCGTCGTTGCCGCGGCAACCTTGGGAACAGCCGGCTATGCTGTGCATATTTGATCCATTGAAGGCGGCTTTCCCTCAGGGCTTGAACCTGCCTTATCAGGGACTGGTTGGTTCGTCGCCTGTTCCTCAGACGACAGCACAGCCTTCGGATTCCGGACCGTCTGTGACGAGTGGTTCTCATTGTCAGGCATGGACTCGTGCAGTCAAGGCAAAACGAGGGCCTAGGGCCGCGGATCGTCGCGAAGAGGCGTACCGCCGGGTCCTCACATTACTGCATGCTTTCTCGAGTTTCTTCGATTTGTGTACCTTGATGGCTGATGACGAGGAGGACGGCCAGGATTCTGTTCAGGCAGTTTTGGCAGGGAAATCACAGAATACCATTTTGAAACATGTGGGTCCGGTTCGTACCTTTTGTGAGTGGCTTTTGAAAGCCAGCTACGCTCCGCCTTTTGCGGAGAAAACTTTATGGTCTTTCATCCATTGTGTCCTCAAGATGCCCAAGACTGCGGCCACCACACTGGACAGTAGTCTGCGTGCTATCAAGTGGAGCTATTATACATTGGGACTACGTGTACAACTAGAGGTTTTCAGCAGCCCTCGAATTCATGGTGTGGTGAAGAAGGCGTTACAGACTAAAAACCCTTGGTGCCCGGCGACGCCCCTCAAAGTATCAGAAGTTCTCCAACTGCACGCGATCTGTTGTGATCCCTCTATTTCTGTCATTGATAGATGCGGGGCGGCGCATTTCCTTGCTATGCTCTATGCGAGGGCAAGACCATCGGACATCCGGTGCGTCAAAAGTATCTTGATAGATGTGCACAACGAGGACTGGAGCTCGGGTTTCATTGAGTTAGGGACGCTCGAGCACAAGACGTCTCGGCTGGACACCCAGCGACGTCGTATACTGCCTCTGGTGATTCCTGGCCAGGGTATTGCCAAAACACCCTTTGGTCAGCTCCTCCTGGAGGGCTGAGGCCGGTTTGCCGAATGATCAGGCGGATGTCCCATTTTTGCCGGCGCCTCTGCCGGATGGGTCTTGGTCCTCCGACCCGCTGTCTAGCAGCGAAATTACCAGGTGGCTGAGGTATTTACTGCCACGTCCATCGTCGGAACAGGCTGTGAGTTCGCACTCGTTGAAGGTTACCTCACTTGTTTGGTGTAGCAAATTCGGGATGCTTCGCGAGACCAAGCGAGTTCTAGGCCATCACGCGGACGCTGCGACTGGCAGCGATGCAGTTTATGGACGCGAGTTGCAGAGTGCGGCACTGCGTGAGTATGTTGTCGTGCTGGATGCAGTCGCGACGGGCAAGTTCCTGCCGGACCAGACCCGTTCAGGTCATTTCGCATCAGGTTGGACTCGGGAATCTGTCCTGCAGGCGGCTGCTTTTCCACCGGACTCGGAAGTCCTACAGGCGGCTGTGGAGGACGACCAGGATGATGCTTTGGCTGTAGTTTCTGATGTTTCGGACTCCGATGAAGAGGCCCCGGAGGAACAATCTTTCTGGGCTCACCCGACGAGCCAGGTTCTGCATCGCACGACTTTGGGGTCGCCAATGTTCTTGTGTGGCCGAGCTTTTGGTGATCATTATCATTATCGGCGCATCCCTATGGCGCGGGCGCAAGCGCACCCACAATGTGCCAAGTGTTTCCCCCAGAGCGCAGTTTGATTTCTGCCTGCTCGAAAAGGTGCCAGCTGTGCTAGTATAGTGCGCGTGTACATTGTGTGAGCTTCGTTTTCGCCAGTGCTTTCGGTTGCAGGTGTTTTAGCCATGACGAGTTCCGTAGATTCTGCGCCTTTCTTTGTGCAGCGAGCGGATGAAATCTCGCTTGCCAAGCGAGTCGTGGATGCCCTGAAAGGTGAAGGGGTCACCACTTTGGCCCAGTTGGCTTTTTGTGTCGGACAACCGGGACAGGTGCTATCTCAGACTGAGTTTGACACGTGGAGCGAGGCCATGTTGGTAGGCATCACGGTGGGCGAGAAGGCGTCTCTGAGGCCTTTGATACTGGAAGCTCAGACCATGCTAGTGGCTTCCTTGAAGGATTTGGCAGAACCTGCGGAACACGCTTCCCCTAAAAAGGTGGGGGTCGCCGAGCGTAATGCTCGCATGGATCAGCTTCGGACTCAGCTCGCAGGAGTTTCGCTCACTGGACAGCTTGAGCCGAGTCATGCATTGCTTGACATGATTGACATGGCCGTTCAGCAGTGGGAGAGTCGGTGCTTGAAGTACATCGGTCCAGAGAAGTGCCATAGCCGTGAGGATGAGGTTCAGAACATCAAGCCCTTGACCACCAGTCTGTCCTTGGAAGGCGGTAAGTTGAAGGTTACGGAGACTGCTGGTATGGACGATCGCGATATTGAGGGCTCTTTGCAGGTCCTTAATGCCCTGCGTCGCAGAGGAGTGGCTTATGCATTTGCTCGCTTGATCAGTTGGGAGAAGCATGAGGCTTACATCGCCTCTTTGTTCAGGTATCTGACCAAACCCGCTCAGCCTGGTTACAGGAAAGTGTCTCTTCGTCAGATTCTGCGGGCTGACAAGCTTGCCTTTTCCAAGTTGTCGGAGGCAGGTGAAGACATCCGGGCAGACGCCTCAGGCACTCTCCCACTTGATGCAGCGATCGGGGCTATTCTTCATGATTACGACCTAATTGTAGCCCTTCTGCCTATGGGCGACTTGGACGGTAAGGGCAAGAATGCTAATGGCCGAGGCGGTCGTCCTGGCCCTTACGGCGATACTGCGCCCTGGAAGGGGAAGAATGGCAAAGGTAAGGGTGATTGGAACTCCAAAGGCTCTGATAATTGGACAGGGAAAGGCAAGAACACCTGGCAAGCTAAGGGCAAGTCGCCCAAGGGCAAAGGCTCGGGGGCCGGCAAGCCGGAATGGTTACCTGAGGGACTTCGCTTCCAGGGAGCCTCTGCATGGAATCATAAAGGCAACAAGGTCTGTTACGGCTTCAACCTCGGGACTTGTTCGGATGCAAACTGCCAGAAGGGCGATCATACTTGCTGCATCTTCAAATGCGGTGGTGACCACCCGGTGGGTAAGTGTCCTTTGAAGCCCAAGAAGCTGTGACTAGCGGATCCCCCGCCTTGCCCCGTCGCTTTGGCGTCGGACGTGGAGATGGCATCTTCGGAAGAACCCGTTTCAGGTGGTATCTCTGTAGCTGATGTCGCGGCCCCGGCTTCGCCACCTTTTGGAGTGGGAGTGGACCCTGCTTCTAAGATGGTGGATGTCGACGATTCTCCGATTTTGGTAGAACCTACAGTTTTGGATGCCCCTACGATGCCGAGTGCTTCGTCTGAGTCGTTTTCCTTGGAGCACGCAGGGAGCGAGGGGGCGCTCCCCTCACCTCTCGTGGCATCACAGGACAATTCTCCGGCCCCTCAGAGTCAGGAGCCAAGCAGGGCCATTTTGCAGTGTTTTGCAGGCCAAGCTCGTGTGGCTTCAGCTTTGATTAAGCAGGGCTATTTTTCCTACGGAGTGGACCGATTCAAGCAGAAGGCGGCTATGGCCCCAGTGCTTCAGATGGACTTGTCGACGCGGGAGGCTTGTGACTCTGTCCTAACATGGCTTGACAAACGGAAGATTGCGGGTGTTATGATATGTATTCCTAAGCCTGCCTCGGAGCCTGTCACTACAGCTTTCATTCTGGCCGTGATGGCTGGCTGCTTAAGCAACAACCTGCCCATGATTCTTGAGGGTTCGGTGTCCTCTCCATTTTGGGAGAATCGCCTACCAGCAGCACAGCACCCTCCGCATCAGGTGGAGGTTGATTGGCGGTATTGGGACCCACATAGCAAACAGCGCAGCTTCGTGTTGTCTAATATGCCTGAAGTCCTCACTGTGCGCAGGGAGTCGGCTCTGCTGGGACATAAGGTGCACCAGCGCTCGGAGGCGCAGACAGGCTACCCGCCGGTTTTTGCCACGGCGGTAGCTGAGGTTTTCATTGCAGGTTTGACTCAGCGACAGCTGCCGTGCCGTAGCCCGGCCTTGACTAACAAATCGCTGCGAGTTTCGGCTATGAATCAGCCACGTGGGGCGATGCCGGAAGTGGTGTCTGAATGGAAGTTGGTGGTCTATGTCTTTCTGCCACCACAGGTTGAGGATCCGTTTGGCGGGTCGAAGCGCCTTAAACAGGACTGGCGGGTCCCGCAAGGCGCCCGTGTGCTGCCGGAGCTTGGGGCGCTCCCGCAGGATTCCCAGCTTCTGTCGCGTACTCAGTCAGGGGGGCAATTGAGCCCGCAACTCCAGCAGGAAATGCAAAACTTGAATGGAGCCTCAGTTTTGCGAGTGGGCATCCCATGGGATCCCATCGAATTTATCGCCAAAGCAGGTAAGATTGGACACCCATATCATAAGTTATCCAAGTGCAACAAGGATTTGAGAGACCTCGTTCATGACCTAGTACACAAACCGGGAATGGTTCGTTCTCAGAGGAAGAATTACATCGAGAAGTGGGCCAGAAGAGCCAAAGAGTTGGAACCAGAGGAAGCCAAGCTGAAAGCTGGCATGTCGGATCACAGAAGGAAGATCCTTCAACCCAAACGTATCTTGCTGTTCGAAGAGATGCTGCGAGACATTGGGTATGATGATATGGGTGTGGTTCAGGAACTCATCGACGCAGCCACGCTGACGGGAGACATTCCTATCACCGGGGTGCTGGATACCAAGCTCAAGCCTGCTAGGTTGGATAATGAACAAATTTTGGGGATGTCTGATGAAATCAAACAGCAGATCCGGGCGAAGACTGGGTCGTCGGGTGATAAGGAAATTGACCAGCTGTTGTGGGACAAGACGATGGAAGAGGTGCAGAGTGGGTACCTCTCGGGACCTTATGATTTCGAGTCATTGCCGAAACGATGTTTGGTCAGCTCCCGTTTTCCGCTACTGCAAGGGGAGAAGCTGCGACCTATTGACAACTACTCCTCGAGTTTGATTAACGATACGGTCACAGTCTCTGAAAAGCCCATCACGCACTCTATCGACGAAATTGCTATGTTGATAAATACACTCTCGAGTGCTGCTCGAAAGAAGAACCTGAACGCTTTGTACGGGAAAACGGCGGATCTGAAGGGGGCTTACAGACAATTGGCGGTATCTGATACAAGCTTAGATTTCTCTTACCTCTCGGTCTACGACCCGGCAGAGGAGAAGCCCAAGTTGTTCCAACAACTAGCTGTGCCCTTCGGCTCCACCAAGGCCGTGTATTTTTTCCTCAGGGTGGCGAGAGCTCTTTGGACTATCCTGGTCAAAGGGGCCAGGATCCCAACCACGAATTACTTCGACGACTTTGTTCTGCTCGCTCTTGGAGGAGATAGGAGTTCGTGTTCGCACGTTTTCGATGAAGTTATGAAGCTGTTAGGTTGGAAACTGTCAGCTGATAAGACAACGGAGTGGAACACTAGCTTCGAGGCCCTTGGCGTTCTTTTCGAGCTTGACCAGACGGGGTCAGGAGTTCTGAAGGTCAGGAACACTGAGAAACGACGCAAGGAACTTACTGCTGCGATCAAGGGTTTCCTGGACAAGGGAGCCATGACTCAGAAGGAAGCTTTACAACTGCGGGGTAGGCTACAGTTTGCTCAAGCCCAGTTTTTCGGTAGACTGGGGAGAAGGTGCCTGACAGAGGTGACAAAGCATGCCTACACTGGTAGGTCGAAGCTTTCGTCGATGGCCAAAGAACGACTTGAAGAGTTTGGTAAGTTCCTTGACATGGCCCAACCGAGGTTAGTGGGACAAGTTTCATGCAGGACTTTTATGATCCTTACCGATGCGGCGTTTGAGACGGAATCAGGAACCGGAGGCCTTGGGGGAGTCCTTCTTACCGGGGCAGGTTCTGCACTTTCTTTCTTCAGCGTGCCGATCTCAGAGCAGCAAGCCAAGTCGATGTCGTTACAAGATGAGCATACGATCATATATGAGCTCGAAATGTTCGGAGTCTTGATCGGTCTCAAGCTCTTAGTCGAGAAGACGGCTGCTTTCGCAGAATCATACGAACAGCCGGGTGCTGTGGCTGGAACGGGAGTGATTTGTTATATCGATAATGATGCTGCGAGACACGCATACATCGCCGGCTCTTCGAAGAAAGGGGTTGCTGGGATTCTTATCGATGAGGTCAATTTTCTTGAGTATGTCCACGGCATCTTGCCGTGGTATGCGAGAGTGGCATCACCAGCCAATCTGGCTGACGAACCCTCAAGGATGAAACTTGATAGAGTCAGGAAGTTAGGATTCAAGGACGAGTCCGTCGAGGCGACCAAAGTGGTGTTATCGATTGTGAAGAGAGTTTCGAATCTGCCTGCTTAACACTGCGACTCCAGGAAGTGGGGACGAAAAGAGTCTTGTGTCTCACAGGACCGACAGTTCGAAGATATCGGCCGTGTGCGGTACTTGCTACCCCACCGTGTGAAAATAGCGTCGAGCTTTGAACTTCTTGCATGTGACATGTGCGAGTGCAAGCATTCATCCCTGAAGGTTCAAACATGATAGACATCAAAACACAAAGCACGATCTTTGAACGATAAGTCAACCATCCCAAGGCGCCGGTCTGCAAGCTTGACCTAGCCACTGCCTCTGGTCAGTCAGTCATCTGGGATGTGCTTCAGGCTCGAAAACCCTTTGCAGTCCATCTGGCACCTCCGATTCTTTCGGACCACAAGGCCCTCGCACAGTTCATTTGCGACATCATCGGCTGGTGCGCCCAAAATGATGTTGTGGTGTCTCTTGAACAGCCTGACCGGAGCGAAGGCTGGGCCCTGCTCACGTCCTGCGCGCGTTCCCGTTTGCCATCCGAGGTTCTTTCGAAGTGGGCTGGGCTTCAGAAGGTTGTTTTTCCCATTTGCATGCACGGGGGCTCTAGTCGGGCTCTGACCCGCCTCTTTGGCACGCCTCGTGTCTTCGAATCCTTAGCGGTCGCTTGCGACGGCAAGCATTGGCATGGTCCGCGCCCCGGCGCCTGGGCCGTTCCCGCTGCCTACCCACAGATTCTTTGCAACCGCATCGCGGACTGCCTGCTGCAGTGTGCCAAGGCTAGGTCCGCCACGCCGAGTCCGATCACTCGACTCAAAGAGGCTTCCACCGCCGCGCTGGGACGTCAGACCAAGCGCCATGCCCCTTTGGTTCCTGAGTACCGGTCCTTTAAGGTAGTCCCGCAAGGTTCTAAACTTCAGCCCTGCGAGCGCATCCTCTCTGCCAAGTTCGCGGGGGGATCAACCGAGGATGGACCAGAGGCTTCAAGAAAGCAGTGGAAAGTGGGGATATTGCACTCCCCCTCCGAGTTTCTGAGTAAAGCCTTAAGCTGCCCTCACCCCCTTGACGCTGCTAGACCGTTATCCAAACACTTCCTGGATGCCCTTGAAGCTGTGATGACGACAACCCCTAAGGTCTTAGAGCTCAAGAGGAAGTTAGCGATTGCTAAGGCTGAAATTCTTGTCAAGAAACTCAGCTGTTCTGAGAAGGCCAGGCACCAGGCCCTTCCCGGCCATATGAAGAAAGTGCTTACAAGCAAGAACCTTTCACTCTTTGAGGCGCTCCTCAAGGAGCATGAGTACTGGGATATGGGGGTAGTCCAGCTCATGGAAAAGGGTGTAGACCTCGTTGGGTTTCAGGATTCCCAGCTTCTGTCGCGTACTCAGTCAGGGGGGCAATTGAGCCCGCAACTCCAGCAGGAAATGCAAAACTTGAATGGAGCCTCAGTTTTGCGAGTGGGCATCCCATGGGATCCCATCGAATTTATCGCCAAAGCAGGTAAGATTGGACACCCATATCATAAGTTATCCAAGTGCAACAAGGATTTGAGAGACCTCGTTCATGACCTAGTACACAAACCGGGAATGGTTCGTTCTCAGAGGAAGAATTACATCGAGAAGTGGGCCAGAAGAGCCAAAGAGTTGGAACCAGAGGAAGCCAAGCTGAAAGCTGGCATGTCGGATCACAGAAGGAAGATCCTTCAACCCAAACGTATCTTGCTGTTCGAAGAGATGCTGCGAGACATTGGGTATGATGATATGGGTGTGGTTCAGGAACTCATCGACGCAGCCACGCTGACGGGAGACATTCCTATCACCGGGGTGCTGGATACCAAGCTCAAGCCTGCTAGGTTGGATAATGAACAAATTTTGGGGATGTCTGATGAAATCAAACAGCAGATCCGGGCGAAGACTGGGTCGTCGGGTGATAAGGAAATTGACCAGCTGTTGTGGGACAAGACGATGGAAGAGGTGCAGAGTGGGTACCTCTCGGGACCTTATGATTTCGAGTCATTGCCGAAACGATGTTTGGTCAGCTCCCGTTTTCCGCTACTGCAAGGGGAGAAGCTGCGACCTATTGACAACTACTCCTCGAGTTTGATTAACGATACGGTCACAGTCTCTGAAAAGCCCATCACGCACTCTATCGACGAAATTGCTATGTTGATAAATACACTCTCGAGTGCTGCTCGAAAGAAGAACCTGAACGCTTTGTACGGGAAAACGGCGGATCTGAAGGGGGC